TTATATATATTTCTTTTTACTTTAATACTTTTACATTCATTGACAAAGCACAGTCCACATGGAAGCGATTCAGCGGCTGTTTTACACATTTCGTATAATTTTGTCTACTTAAAAAAAAAAAAAGAAATCTTTAGATGCTCCCACCCGGTTTCGAACCGCAGACATTTCGGTCGACGACCGAGGTAAATGACGTTCAATGGCTTAATTCTCTTAACTTTTTCCATTCATTCTCTATGGTAGTTCTTACCAGTACGGATGTAATACACTATCTAACCACAATGTAAGTTGCAATGGTAGAGTGGCGCTGTTCCCATTTAAAAGAGTCCAAGTCAACAGTTTAACACCAGGTAAAAACTTGTAATCACGAAATTATTAGGGTTTTTTTTGTTGTTCTTTTTATATTTGTGATAAATTAGGCGTCTTAGTTCTTTGATCCCTTACTCAATAGGCTGTTTTTTATTCAGCTCTTTACCGGCATGTATTTGAAGTTGTTTTTCCTTTGTGGAACTCACTGAACAGGTCATTAAGGACATTATTTTCCCACGTTTCTCCCCTTTTTTCTAATTTAATATTGTCACTAGATTGAATATATCTCGACAACAAAAAGCAAACACAATTTAGTTTTAATATTGATTCTACACCCATAATTCAAGTTTTTACTAGAACAGAGCACCAACTTACACCAACAGTTACATAGCTGCATTTTAATAAACAAGCATAAACGGCATTGACGCATTATTCACACATACACATAAATCCACATGTCCATTTAATCACATAATTACCACAAGAGTATTCAATTCAGCCAAGTTCTCCATTTAACACAAAGTGTAATTAAAGTCTAAATAGACTCTAGTACTCTCATCATAACCAAGAAGAAGCACAAACAGGTGTTTTACATGTGCCTGTCCTTTGATTCATTGTCCTATATGGAACAAATGGCAGCTAGCCTACATCTCAGCAATGACTGGTAGCATCGGGGCCTTGAACCTTCTGGACTGTCTACATGTGGTGTGACAGCGAGACGCCCAGAGACAAACAATGCCTGTCTGACTGCGGAGACTCGTCTGTGTTTCTGCTTGTGTTTTGAAGGAGAAAGACAGACGGATCTCTGCACCTTCAGTTGTCTGTCTCACTTCATCTGCATTTTTTTCACAGTCCGTCTCTCTCTCCTCAGTCGTCTTCTTGCTGTTCACCATGGTAACCCGTCTGCTCTTGTGGTCCTTCGGGCAAATCTCAGCAGGGTTTGGACCCTGATTTCCGTCTGACCTGGAGAGAGAGGGCGCTGAGCCGTTGAAATAGGAAAATTGCAACCCTGTCTTATTCCCCTCCTCCGTCCATCCTCTTCGAAGAAGCCTGGCTGCAGTGAGGAAAGAGTCTGTCTGGCTGTGCAGCTTCTCCAGAGGGTCTGAGAGTAGAGACATGTCTGAAGTCCTGCTCAGGCCAGAAGGAACGGTGTCTAGCTCTTCCCTGTCTCCACTTCTGCTTCTGCGGCTGGTTTGAGGTACTAAAGTACCTGTAAATCACATTTTAAAGCATTAGATACATATATGGCTATTTAGCATCTAAATATTCAACAATGTTCACCAGCTAGTTTCTAACTTTATCTGTCCGCTGCTTGGTGCTCAGCTGGTAGTGTACAGTGGGTTTATCAGAACAAAAAAAACAAAAACAGCTGCCTGAGGTTCGAGGTTGTGGTTGTCTGGAAAATCAACACAATTAGCTGAAAGACTCTAAAACGCTCCATTGAGTTGCAGGAAACTGCAGTTGGTGATCATTTTTATTTATTTATTTGCAGCAGCTGAGGAAGTCCCTGTGTTTTTACCTGGTCTCCACTAGGGGGAGGCAAAGATCCTAAGAAAGTCCATTATAATTAAAACCAATGCAAGGCAGCGTGTCACAGCAGCAGTTCTTAGAAAGGTGATCTTGTCTTCTGTGTTTAGTCGTGTTTCAGTGTGCAAATGAACCAACCAAGCTAAACCAACCTGTGGCAGACAAGAGTAAAACTTGAGACCCCAACAGCAGCCACAGTCCAGACTAGAAGATGGAAACCCCAGGGTCCTGGCTGCAGAGGTACTGCAGGAACATATGGAAAAGATTAATAATAAGAGGACAAAGGAAAAGAAGAAAACACAGTAGTATGCAGTTCCATAATAATCAGTGCACTTTTTTGTGACATGGTTGAAGTTTTCTGAGGGCTTAATTTCATCCATCACCTCTGGTTTTGGTTTTGGAAGCAGTTTGTTGAGTTTCACCACAAATAAAGCCATAGGCAACTGATTAAAACAAACTCAGCAAAGCAAATTATATGTAACAAGCAGAAAACAGGATATTACTTAACATAGTAATACCCACCGGTGCAAATATCCAACCAAGCTACTATATTTGCTCACACCACCAAACAGCGTCATAGGTGTTTCTTAATCTCTATTTTATCTAGACATACATATAGACATATACATATGTACCTTCATCAAAATCATCAACCATGCAAACTCCTCCAGTGTATCTATACATCAACATATTGTACAAATAAATATACACAATAAATTGTCACATAGCTGTAGGTTCAGGTAATACCAGATTTCAGGTTAAGATCCTCGTTTCTCTCTGCTTCCTCCTCTCAGGACTGACTGCTCCACCGCTACTCTCTCTGTCTGACCCCTTTCTCTTTTCTCTCTCCCCCCCTCTTTCTCTCTCTCTCTCTCTCACACACTAACCCTGACCTTCTCTCTACGTCAGCCCCCATTTAAGGTAATGACATTATATAAAAAAAAGAAAATGCATTATACACAACTATATATTTGTAATAGTAATTAGTAATAGTAATAAGTTAAACACTTTGTTGTTGCTTTGGTTTATGTAAATACATATTGATCGAGGACAAAATAAAAGGGACACCAAGAAAAATATACTAATAGAATGATTTTATCTGTTTGTCCAAAGTAATGCATATACATTTTACATTGAAAAATCCAAACAGGAAAAAAACAACTGGAGATATTTCCTGAGCTTTTAACCGTACCATGTGGTCTTCATCAGATGTTATGGAGGTCTATCTCTTCACATTTGAGTTATAACCAGCATGCTTCCTTCCTTTCCAGCCCAAGAACTTTTTTTCAGCCACAGAAGGTAGCTGTTTTCAGTGAAAAAGATCTGATAAACTGACTGCCTTCCCAGCACCATGACGGAGAGACAAAGTTAGCAACTAGCTACTGAACATAGTGGAGTTTAACGGAGTGCTTTGAGTTTTTAACCATTAACATAAAACATTTTAATGACGCTCTGTTTGGCAAAAGCAAATATTGTTTGGAGACAGGGTTGCTGCTAAATCCAGCATTTCATTGAAATTAATGTTATCGTCTTCCTGTTGTCTTTGTGCTCACGTGCCTTGTTGCTGAACTCGGCCACCTCTGATAAAAAAAACCCTTTTTTGGGATTTCTTACAAAAGGTCTGGATTATGGACTGTAACCTCCGTCAGCAGGGCTGCTGTTTGTTTGCTCTGACCAGACATTTGCTCTCTGGTCTTCACCTTCTGAGTTCAGCAGGTTTATATGCTGTGGACAAAGCAGGTGGACCGTTGGACACCGGGGGTTTTAACGTGTGTTTGTGTGTGTCTGTTGAGTGACCACATATTCAACAACTGGTCTTTGCAATAAAGTAACAGGGGTTCAGGAAGTCATTGTTTGCATGTGTAGTTCAAGAGAGAACGTGAATGTGAGAGAACTTTTCTTGTATTTAGAAAGATCCCTTTGGAGAGGAATGCTTTAATCTGAATGAATCTAGAGTTAATATATGTTACAGAAGTGAACTAAAACAATATAATATAAAATAAAACTTAAAGTAAAATTACTATTCTGTTTATGTACGATGAACATCAATGGCTTGTCAATAAACTGAAAGAAGTTATCACACTCTCAACTGCTGAATAACTTTTTATATCACAAAACCATCCATTTCCAGGACTCTCGCATCGATTTGACTGCCTCCCATTTTAGTCATGGCACGCTTAGTTTTAGCAAGACATCTTTTTGGCATTTAACCTCCAGTCAAGCCATCCCCTCTTTATTTGTGTCATGGTTGAGGTCCTTCTATGGCGTTGTTGATGCTGATGTTTCAGGTGCCCTATAATACGCCTACTCGCCCTGCTAAATTTGTTTTGTTTTGCCTGCTGATTACTGATCCGTGTTCATGCCCTTCCTTTTTACGCTTGGGTGACATTTCTGTGAATGAAACTTGCCCACAATCAGAGCAGAACAAGTAGCTTCATAGGAATTTTCTCATGAGTGCCCGCTCATGAACAGGTAGTATTCATGAAGTTGAATAGAGCAATTTCCATTAAGGTGCAGTTATGTACGTTGGCTCAATCTTCTCTTGAATCTCAACTTGTAACACTCGTATGAAGAAAGCTGACAGGAAAGAATAAGAAAATATTCTTGCAGGCCCATTGCCTAAGCTTATGTTTCTACATATGTGTTGTATATGTCATGGTCAAAAGTAATGCATTGTCCAAAACACAACCCGGATTTCTGCATGTCAGCAGCTGTTGCATTTGCACGAATTAAGATGCAATTCATGAGCATAAGGTCGTTGTAAACCTAACTGCTCTCAACTATTTCAACTATTTAAGAATTTCACTAAATTATCTGATCATCAGCCTTCAAAAGCTGCTGTTCACATGTGGACTAGCAGCTCGACCTACATTCATAGAACTTTCTGGATCAAAGTTCAGGGGGAGAGCGAGAGCTGTATCATAGCACAGAAGGGTCGAGTTTGCTCGGCATGTGCTGCCTCATGGTAGTCATCAATCTGGGTCAAAGGTAATGGGAAATCTGCTGAAACACAGGCAGCATTGCCAAAATTCACATTCACATTAATTTACATTACAGTGGCTACAGCTTTCTCTATGTCTGTTTTTTTTTTCATCAACAAATCCCTTGAAAAGATAAATCTAACAATGAAGACAAAGGATGATATATTTAATTCTTCTCCAAAAAGGATTTAAAACACATTAATGGGCCACACCTCTGCACTGGGTGACATGTTCCTTTTTAGGAAGACACTGAAACACCAAAAATATCTAAATCCTGTTTACAAAGACCACAGTGACAGCTGTTTTAGGAAATTACAGAACCTTTTTTAAGAATGAAACTACTGTATATATTTGTGACTCATCCTCAGTTGGAACAAATGTGAGCTACAAACAGAGTAGGGAAGGCAGAAAGCGACACAGTGGTTTAGTTTTATTTGGAATCTGTATAAGAATAAGTGTAAGAAAAATGGAGAATAATCCAGCCTGGAAGTTGTATTCAAGCTGAGGGAAAAAGAGTGCAAAAACTATGTCTATATTAACGCTGGAACCTGCAGTCCTCAGTTGCGCAGTGTTGCTCTAACATTTCTCGCATTTTTCCTGTAATGTTTCCTGTAACGTTTGACTGTTTGCCTACGGGCATGATGAATAATTGCTACCTACCCAGAAGTGGCCTCTTATCTCCCTGACCTTCTAATCTGCCAAAAGGTTGTGAAAGGCTTGTTAAAAAGTTTCTAATGTTGCTAATAACTGTCTTCCATGCTCTTCTAGACCTGAATGAATTAGAGTTGATGATGAGCCTTCAGGGCATCATAAAAAGTGCAGAGACAAGTCTTTCAACGCTGGTGAAGAAAGTGTTAAGTATTTCAGTACTTCCAAAATATCACACCCAAGAAGAAACTGATGATGAACACAGTTTACATAAAACTAGGTTATCTAGTGTTGTGGACAGATCTGAACAACCTCTGTTGAAAGTGAAGAGTAAAATGTGGGCAAATCATAAACAAGCTCCTCCTTATGCACCTGACTCTCTCAAAGTATAGTTAAAGAAAAACCAAACTGTTAAACAACAGTGTTTGCAGTGCAAAGGGTTGTTTAAAATCCAATTTTTACTCTGTTGCTAGATAAAAAAAAAGTAAATTTCTCACCCTTACTATAGCACACACAGATAGCTGGAACACCAGATCTTAGCAAAGTGAACAATAACAATATGGAGGAGGTGCACCTGTTACCTGTGCACCTGTGTGAACATGAATAGGTGTTTCTCATCAGCTGGGAGTTGATCAGCTGACGTATCAATGGGCCACAGCTGATTAAAACACTCATAATGAATCTGTTAATGAAAGCTTCATTGTTCTACCTGAATGAACATATTGCTCCATTGACTTAAGTGGTATCTTGTGTTTCTGGAAAATGTGTCACTGTATTTGGGATGATCATGTAAAGAGGTAATCACTGTGGAATTCAGCTGTCTTTGTTGACTGAACAGGAATGCGGGGTGGGGCAGCTCAGGGCCACCGGAGATCAGTCTTTGTTTCTGAGCTCTGATGTCAATTCAATTGTCAAGCATTTGTCTGACTTTTATGTAATACACCCTTCTTTACCCTTTATTTTGATAGAATCTCCTTTCTATGGAGGGTTTTTTGGGTATTGTTCTCCTTCCTTCGCAGTACACCCACAGGCCTTACTGTGGTTTGTGGCTGGCAGTTGCCGTTGTGCCTCATTAAAACGGTTTCTTAACAGTAATTGTTTAAGGATGGGAGAGGTTTTTTTTATTCACAGATTTTTCAAAAGAGCACAAAGAGGTGACATTTTTGCTCCCAAAACCACCTGTTACATCACTTCCACCTGTTCAATTATTCGAATACTTTGGGAGCCATCCAAGGTTGACTTGTTGGTTGTGTGACCTTTATATCACAGGTTTTATCCCGGCCATTATTACTTACTGTATCCGATAAAAGAGAAATGTAGCTGCTCTGTATTAAAGTGTCCTTGGTTACAGAATAAAATGTTCTTTTTTTTCTTAAAAGAACAAAGGTCACCAAGAAGTTCTGAGTTAAGAGAACACTCGAATGAGTCGTCTTTAGAACACTCATATGGGTTATATGGGTCCAGACCGACTGTAACTATATTGCCATTATGGAAAAATTACTAATGGAGCAGTCCTCTCCATCTGTCTGTTTATCCCTCTCCTTAATATCCTCCATATTGTACACCTTCATCATCGTACAAAATCCACACCACTTCCTCAGAATCAAAGAGAAAGGGTGTATTTGTAGAGCTGCCATTTTGTACTAATGTTCAACAGTCGTATACGAAGAGAAGATGAGTAACACCTGGCATTAACACGTAAGCCGTATCTGAATATCCCATCTGGATGTCAGGTGTAAATGCAAGCCTACAATCGCATCGTTCAGACCACATCTGGAAGTGGACTTTCTCACACTGCGATTGGATGTCGGCCAGGTGTAAATGCAATCCATACAGCGTTGTCACATTCTTAAGAAAAGAAATCCACCTATCAAGCTAAAAGCTCTGTGAAATCATTGGCAGACTTCCAGACAACTGGAAGGTGCATGTTGATCTACATTTATTTAAATGTAGCAACAGGAAATTCACATCCAGAACTTGTTGTTTTAAAACAGTGTCACATTATTTCAGCCATTAGGCCATGATCTCACAGGTTTGGTGGTGATCATGTGATGACCCTACCTTAGTTTTGATCCTCTGCAGGTAACTATAAATAATTGCAGCTACGGTAAAGGAGTGCAGGACGGACCGGCTTTTCCGGTTTCTCAGGTGTTATGTTGTCTGCAGGTATTTCTGAACTGACTGAGAAATGACTGTTTGCCTGTGGAGACATTAGCTGTGACAGGACGTCCAACTCACAGCTTCCTCATTGCACAAATACACAGGTAAGACATTCATTGTGCACTTCAGTTATAATATATAAATACGTGTCTATACACATCTCTTTTCTTAACTTGTTTATATTTAGTGTTGTCATCATTTGGTGTGTCATCTAATGTAATGATAATCTGATGTCATGGTTTTATGTTTTCTTTCTTTTGTAAAGCACTTTGTAGATTTTGCTTTAAAACAATTTCATAAAATATTAAAGAATTACTATTTATTTATTTGTATCCCAATAGATCAGTCTAATGTGTGCTGTTTTAGATATTTTGCCATTCATACAGTCATATAATCATCATTAAATATAAATACATTGGCTTAAAATATATTATTTTTATTTTGAAAGTAGAATACAAAAGTAATTATATTAAATCACAACAACTTGACGGCTCAAAACGTTCTGAAATGTTAAGAAATCAAAAGGCAGTAAGGAAGGCCTCAAGCACATCATGCTGATTTCACAGTGAGACATTCCTCACAGACTTTCCTTAAAGCTGTGAATCAGGTGGAAATTCAAGCTGGACAGTCGTTTTCGCTCTCTCTTCGGCTTCTGATTGTCTATCATGGGTGAACGTTCGTTTCCACTGCTAGGTTACCACTTTTAGCTGTTTTTTCAAAGGGCCACAGTAAAGCAAAGGAAAATCTCTGGGAAATGGCAAAATACACATTTTGTTTAGACAACTTAGATTATTTAACTTTAAAAAAAACTTTCAAATTTAAAGACAAAATACGCTTTAAATTTCCCCACACAATGACACATAGTGCTTTCTGATCTGACACCCCTATCAGCAGCTATCATCAGATATCATTCGTAAATGTCTTCCAAAAGAAAAAGTAAAACTGTCTTCTTTTTTGACAACACTATAGTTAAGGTTTGGTTAGGTCTATTCATCCTGACCTCTGCCTGCTGGGAACTTTGCGGCTTTGTCACTTGAACGCAAACATGTCATTATTACTTATTTTGATGGTACTTTTATCCAAAGCACTTTCCTATTTGCATCTTATTCACATTCACTGGTGGAAGCATGGTGCTACCGTGGTGCTTATGTGACCATCAGGTGCAGTTATTCCTCAAGAATACTTATGTGATATGTAAGAGAAGAAGTTGGAGATCAAACTTAAAACCCTGTGGAGGATCCACTCTACCTTCTGAGCCACAGCCTCCCCATACGCTTCAACGATGTGCTTGTTTGACCAAAGGCATTAAAGTTGCACCTATAAACTGGTATATCGGCACTCTAAAAATCTCAATACTGTGTCCTCAGTTTACTATTTTATTTCTGGACATTAATCAAACAAGCATTAATCAAAGCCCCTCCTTGGTTTATAAAGAATGGGTAATCCTTAAATCCCTTTTTTAAAACCCCAATATCTTGAATATTAAATATTTTTGTTTTATTTTTTAGGTTCAGGTGTTGTAGAAGCCCGCTTCCAGGAATTTGTTGTTGGCATTTTGTGCATGCTTGTAACTTAATACTACACATGTTTAACGTGAACTCTACATCCTGGTTCCTCCTTTAGACACCATCATGTCTTCCAAGATGGTCATCACGCAGCCTCAGCCTGTGATGGAGGCCCGAGAATCTGATGAGTGGGGATCTGGGATATGTGACTGCTGTCAAGACGTACCTGAGTGTAAGTGTCTGCGCTTAAGTGACATATCTATCACACCAGTGAAAGCGCTGGATGATAAACAGCTAGATATGTTCATGGAAAGATGTCCTTTTAAGTCTGTTATCACATATTTATCTAGTTACTTTTTTAAGAGCACGTTAAGTAAACATTGATAAAAATGACATTGTTTATCTGTATTTTTTTTTCTAAAATGTTTGTTATAAATTAAACACTCATATTTTGTTATTATCAGCTACATAAAAATACATGGGATTACAGTACAAAGTTGTTCCCTTACTGGTTCAATCTGTAGCTCACAACAGGTGTTTCTTGTATCAGTATCCATGTTGTCAATATGTTGCATTTCCTTGAATTTCCCCCCCTGGTTAAGGTTGCTTCGCTTTCTGGTGCTGTCCCTGCTTTGCCTGTATAACTACCAAGAAGTACGGCCAGTGTCTGTGTCTCCCCCTGCTGGAAATCTTCGGCGGCATCCCTGCCATCACCATGTCCATGAGGGTCTCCATGCGGCAGCGCTACGGCATCAAAGTAAGGCCCACGTTCTCTGCTGTTGTCAGTCCCCTTAAAGTCCCAATCTGTAGTCTTTTGACATTTATTTACTATAGGTGAAACTATATATGAGACAAAAGGGGACAATTCACCCATTAAACATTTAGAATAAATCATTTGCAGTCCTCTCCTCCTTAATTTCTGTCCTCGGGCTGCTTCTACACCTGAAGGGTTACTTAGGGTTTATCTTATCCTACTTTGTGAAGGTTAGGGAACCTTTGTTTACCCTTTGAAGACAGTATCAGAATTTCATGGCTACAAATTCAATTTGAGGATAAGTAAATGGGAGAAAGAAATATGTATACCAAGTGTATTAATTCATAATTAAAGTCTGTGGTTCATCACAAACAGATCCAGCCTATAGATCCGATAGTTGACCTGTTGACCTGACGTCGGTGTGCTTTGTTTGCAGGGCACCATGTGTAGGGATTGTCTGTTGGCCACGTTCTGTAACTCCTGCTCCTGGTGTCAGATGTCCAGAGAGATGAGGAGAAGAAACATCCAAATCGTTCTCGTCAGCGCCAAGAACACATGACCTCTCTCCTCGCTCTTCGTCACTACATTACTACTTCAACATAACCTGCTTTGGCTTTTACTAACATGTAATAAAAACAAAATGTTACTGACTGACAATCTGCCTGTAATACTAGTTTATTGAGGTTAGTCTTTCCCTTTTATTTTCCCCCCTGAGACTAAAACTCTTATTTTCAGTTTCAAAGTGTCTTCTGACTTATAGGTAATGGATGAACATTTATTAACTGATTTCTGGCCTGAGGTTCAGTATAAAAGTCTCAACTTGTTTTACACAATAGATATATAAGCTTGTATTGCATTTTTGTAATTATTAGTAATATCTGGGAATGTTACAGTTTATCAAATGCATACTTAATTAAATCCTTACACAGAAATACAGAGGGACAAGAGGACAGGATTTTTTTTATATTGACTTTTTAAATGTTTTTCTATTTTTAGTTCATGTCTGCTAATGTCACTTTTAATATGATTTATATTCATAATCGATTTATTGACAATAAAATGAATTAAAGGAATATAGCACCAGTATTCTGTTATTTATTTGCACGTTAGAAGAAGGCAAACAAACGCTCATTTACAAAGGTGTAACACAAAAAAAGCAGAAAACAGAAAGCTACCTTTAAATACTAATGCAAAACCCAACCTATCGGCCAGAGGGAGCCACATTCTTCATAATGAGCCCATACGGCTGAGGCCATGTGGGGTCACACCAATGATGTGTTCTATCTCTTTCTTCTCTTGAAAGTTCCCCAATGTTGCTTTAAAACCTCACTTATGAAAATGAGGACACTCAGAGCTCTATTAAAGCTGACACATACTGCCAAGTGGCACTCAACATCTTCTCTTATATTATGATTTAGAGGTAACACAGTTTCCTAGACAAAACTATGCAATTTGTTGCTAATTATTGGGAAAATAGAGATGAGAGATTTAAAAGTGAACTATTATGACTGGGAAACCTCTGTTGTAGAACCAAATTACATACTTTACTATTGAAGAGACAAGGAAAATAACTGCTACTGATTTTGTTGTTTTAACATTTATCTATTTTTATTATCAACTAATTGGTTAAATTTCCTGCTTTTCTCTGTTTTATATTAAACTGAATAACTGTTTGGACTGATAAAACAAGACATTTAAAGACATCACCTGGGGCACTGAGAATCTGAGGTGGACATTTTTTTGTATTTCTTGACAGTTTATTCAGAGGGATTTCATGTTAGATTACTTGATTAATCTAGAAAATAATTGGCAGATTAATTTATAATCAAAATTATCATTAACTGCAGCCCTATTGCTAAATTAAACTTGTGAGAAATTTTTCTCACTAAATCGCAAATTGTTATCATTATCTATTACTTAACATGAGTAGATTTTATCAATCCTGTCATGTATTTTTTTCTTCTCTTCCTGGTGAAAATGGGCTTCCATGGAACACTGTCAGAGTTGGCTTAACTTAGTATTTTGTCAGTCTCAGGTAAAGGGACTTCGACTCACCTGTGTTGGTAGTTGCCTGTATGCTGAAATCATAGAGAAGTATCTTAGACTGCGAAATCCTGCTCAGCTTTGTAGCCAGCTTAAACACCTTGTCAGTGTGGGAATTTCAATCACCTACCTCCATAAGCAGCCACAAAACATGTATGAAAATCTATTGTATCAGACAGCAGACAGACAAAATTAGAGAGCTGGTGAAAAAAAAAAAAAATGGAGTATTTAGCGGCTAAGAAGCCAAATACTTTTGTCAGGAATTTGTGGACACAAAAGGGAGTAAATATTGGACTTGCATTCATCAGGTTTCACAACCTTATAAGTGGTGACTATGTATTTGTCAGCTTGTTTTTGGTGTTTTGGTCTGCCCTCTAGTGGCCAGAAATGTATTAATGCAGCTTTAAATAACAACATCTGTACTGTGTGGGGAGCTAGATGTTTTCCAAGGCCTATTAAATGTAAAAGAGGATGGAGGAGAAGAGATTTAACCTCGTTTTCTGATGTTCACTTTGCACTGTAAACTCATGGCGTCACTATCATGTCATATTTTGTCAAATTACTCCCAATAAACTTTCCCATTTGTTTAGTCCGGTTGTGTTCCAGCAGAGACGATCTCTCCCCTCTGCTGGCACACTTGGCCCTGGTGTTCACTGTAAATTGCTCAGTGGGTTGTTTTTAATGGGATTATAATGACAGTTATGGTTTGCAAGAATTGATGTTTGTGACTTTTATGAGGTGTGAGTGAAGGGGCGGGTCCAGGCGGCTCATAAAGGCTGCAGGAATGTTAATTGGTCGAGGCCACTGCTGCCCTCTTTGTTCTGCTCTCTCATACTGGGCTTCTGTTGCGCCCGTTAAAGGCCAAAGAACTGATTTAAAATCTGTGACTTTAACCCCACACACCCTCCAACACCCCCCACACACACATATGTACACAGATTATCCCACCTACAACCCCCCGCCCTCCCTCATTCATCCCTCCCATTCTTTCTTCTTGGTTTTTCCTTCCCACTCCTCAAGAAAATGGACCCCTTTGCTTCTCTCATTTCCTCCATGTTGCTTAATCAGGTGGTTGGCGCTCCCCTCCCCGCTGGGTTTGATCCAGTGTTGGGGGAGTAATTTTATCACAGGTTTTTTTTTTCTCTACTTTTGTTTCTCCTGTGGTCAAACAGACGGCCACACTTCCAGCCAGGACGAGCCAGATGACTCTATTGAGGTGAGGGAGGTTTCTAAGAGCCCAAATGGGATATGTGTCATTTTTTATTGTTTGAAAATATTGAATAAATGAGCATGAAAGTTACTTTTTATTGTTTTGGTATTCTGTCAAACTTCACAATCATTTTATTGTTTGATAAGTCTGACCATAAATTACTCTTATTTTGTTTTTCATCCTGATTTCCTTTTACCTTTTACATACGTGTCATCTTTTTGTGTATTCTCTTATTTTGATTCACCTTAGCTTTATTTCACAACATAGAAAGTCGTTTCTAGAAAAATCTTTGTTGTTGATTTCTGCAGATTGTAATAGTTTTACTGCACCAGCAAATTCTGCAGGTTGTTATGACTCACTTATATTCATAAAGAAAAAAATGTGCTGTTTAGTGTTTAGTTTAAATTGTTTTGTTTTTAGTTGCCATGCTAGCAGTGTGGGTCCAAGGATGGTGTTGTTGGTCGGTCGGTCTTTGGTCCTGACTGAAAAATCTCCACTACTGGTTGAGTTGTCAAGAACTTTTGTACAGACGTCCATAGTTACCAGAAGATGAATCCTATTGGCTTTGGTGGTGCCCTGACTTTTTTTCTAGTGCCACATTTGTGGTTTTGAGTAAAGTGTCTCAACAACTACTGGATGGATTGCCATGAACTTTCATACAGATATTAATGTTTCTTCAGGAGTTGGTGATTCCCTGACTTTTCATGTTGCTCCATGATCAGCGGAAAAATAAAATTTGTCCAATACTTTGTCTTTTTGACCAAATACCTGCAAACCTATAACTGAATGCTTTATGCAAATTAGCAAATGTTAGCATGCTAATACAGTAAACATTCCACTTGCTAAACATCAGTTATGTTAAAATCATCATCAGTTTGTCAGCATCATTGCGTTGGCATGCTGACATTAGCATTTAGCTCAAAGCACCACTGTGCCTACGTACAACCTCGCACCTAGCTTACGGATTTTTCTCTAAGCTTTCTATTAAGAAAAGATTTTCAGATTTACCTCACTACAAGAGGACCTTGGTAAACTACACTATGTCCTCCTACAGCAAAACACCTAAATTCTTGTAAAAATCCTTCTTAAATTGATCTGCTCCTTTAAAAAGCTATTTATTTTTCATTTAGGCTTTTGAGTGATTCCTGAGATGGAAATCAAAGTTCATGAGATGCATTTGAACCTGGAGTGAGTGGAATCTGCCTCAGTCCTCAGAGTGTCAACCTGTCTGTCCTGAGGTTTCCACCATGACAGATAGAGACACCGTCTATCTGTCTGAGTCTCTCCATAATTTCCAGGGGAAGTGTTCCTTTTAAAAGACAAGGTTGGAGTTGCCGGGGAGTCGGCTGATAACAGCTCAGGTTAAGATGACGTGGGAGGGGCAGGCGTAGTCCGACACACGCTATCAGACGATGGGCCTCCGAGCAAACAAACAGCTCTGACCTCTGAAAACAACGGCAGCAGGGAGCAGCTGATAGTGAGAGATGGATAGATGGAGGTTGGTGATGATGCAGTGAGTGTGTGTGTGTGTGTGTGTGTATAGGGGAGGCAGAGATCAGGGGCAAAGGGGCATGCAGGGCAAGAATTATCTGATTCCCCCCCATGATCTTAGTGTCTCAGTGTCTATTAAAATCAGAGGGTTTTGGGTGTGTGTGCACTTGAGTGGCAATTCTCTGCTTGACGAACAATAAAAGCTGTTAATCTAAAATATAAAATGTAACTCTGTTTTCTTTTTGTGTCCCAGAATGCTCTGAAAAAATCCTCTTGAAGGAGCTGACATCTACATAAGCACCCACATATTTGACATCTTTATTTAAATTAACATACTTTCTTACCTCTGAAATGAAAAGTATTAAGTATTAAAAACTGACATGTGACAGTAATACAGGTGACATCTCTTTCCAGAAATAATGTCCTGATTACTCTGGATTTTTGCCATTTTCAATTTTTGTTGTTGTTTACAGAACAAGAGCGAGATGCACCAGCACAATCCATGGTCATCATTTAGCAACATTCATGGAAAACTGCTATGATGATCACATAGTGCAGTGAGAAGTAAGGGTGTGTGTTACACCTTTGTTAAGTGAGTGTTTGACTTCTTCTAACAACTTGCAAATACATAACAGATTACTGGTACTATATTAATTTAATTAATTTTATTGACAATAAAAAAAATGACAAATGAAAGTCATTTTAAAAGTAACAATAGCAGACATGAACTAACACTAGTAGAGACTATTGGCATTTTTATCATACAACTATGACCACCATCTTTACATGACTTTTACTAGTTTATTTTAGTTTCTATCCTTAAGTAGTTGCCTGGCAATGATTTTGATGCAGTATTCATCTGAACACTTGTTTTGCAGATAAAGATTATTTGCTCAACAAAACAAGCATGTCAGTTCCTTTCCAAACAACTCCTATGACTATAACAAAATCTTATCTGCCACCTCTATGGTACTGTTGTAGATAAAGATCATCTTTGTAGGAAAAAGAAACCTACCTTCACTGTTCAGAGGCAATGGGATGCAAACAGCACAGTTTCTTGTGTTTAGGTCACTTTGCACACCCAACAATCCACCACTCCAACCTAACCAGGCATTCAGACCGAAAACACCACTGCGTTAAAACAACACAGGGGGTGCGTTGATGGGAGCGTGCTATGGAAGAATGGTTGAGTAACAGATCCATTAGTTGGAGGGTGAATCAGACACCAAATCACTGCAATGTGATAATAGTATCAGTTAAAAACACTGGCAGTTAATATTCTGAAGAAACAGGCAACACTGACCTTTTGCCTTATATAGAGA